CCACGATCATATTTTGCGCATGTTTTGCGCAGCTTGTCGGTGAACAACGGCTTTTCTGCAGAATTCATATAAACCCCCACCCCAATTGTATCACGATTCGTTAAACATTTCAACCAACTTGAATCGACACATATTTTTATAAATTTTCAACCGATAGGCGTGCAACGTTAAATCTCTAATCAACACAGAATCCCAAAACTCCCAATTAGTATAATACAAATAGCCATGTCTCAGTCATAACATAAAATAATCAGCTGGCCATATCGAAATTAATTACAATACCAATGCATCCCAAAAGGTGTGACAGGTCCAAATAAATTGCACAATCTGATTTGTAATTAAGCTAATTAAGTTGAAAAGAAACATGCACAGATAATTATTCTCACCTGCTCAGAGGTCCTCTTCAGTAATTGCAGGTATATCTGCACAAAGGCTCCTGATAGAGCCCTTGTCTCATCCAGTTTCACACACATTGGACAGCCAAATCTGAAACGGAACAGGATGATAATACCTCACTAACGACATACAAACTCTACTGGTTTTAATTCCTGTCATGCCTGATTTAGCCTAATGATAAATAGATCATGTTAATACCTTTAAGGTCCAAAATCTTCCAGCTAACCTGTTATTTTTAAAATTAGAGCATTTCCGGTACTTTGCTGAGCTTTGAAGATGGGCAATATCAGGTGCACAAAGTTGTGGCTGACTCTGTTACATTGCAATGTATAGGCTGTCACTGACAAAGTGGGTAACGGTGAAGGCCGGTCACAGAGGAACGAGGATTATGCCAGAGACAAGACATTCCACCAAGCAGAGGGTTCTGAAAGTAGCAGACTAGACACATTTTATGCTTAGTTAAAGATGCATGCTTTGCCACACTGTCAGCACAACGCTAAGAAGACACGGGAGGAGGGGAATAAGAAACACAGTCGTGCTTAAGTGAGGTGGGGGAATAGGACCCCTGAATTTGCATTTACTCTTTTTTTTTCTGCTGTGTTAAAATAACATCTGATATCACTTTTGACCAGAAAATTATTGTGTCAAATTACACCAATACACTTAAATACTATTAGGAGTCTTGTGTTGAGCAAAACAAGCAAATTAATGTGGCTGGGAGGGCTTTTTTTTCCATTAAACCACACTGTGACTCCACCCATGCTGAAATACAAAGAGCTTTGTTTTCACACTCACAGCTAATTGCTGAAGTTCAAGTTGCACCGCATAATCGACTATAGACTGAAAGTATAGTGCTTCATCTTAGTTTGTTTTAATTGCATTTTAAAGCAAATATAAGCATAAAATGGTCATAGACTAGTCAACTAAGGTGCTGTATTTTTACACCTGTAAACTTAGAATGAGTAATACAGTTTTACATCCAGACATTTAAAAGTTATCTGCAATCCTTTTGGGATTGTCAAGACGTGGAATAAATAACATTTAAGCAACATGTGCTACCACTGAATTGACATAATCTATAGCAGAAGTAAACGGTAGTGCTGTGTTCGATACATCGATCCGACGATGTATCGTCACAGAGATTTGACGATACGAGTATCGATACAGCTAGCCCTGTATCGATACTGCGGCACGTGTGCAGCAGTGGATCGCGCTTAATTTGAATACAAGAACACCGTTTAAAATGGAGTAGAAAAGTGCAAGGTTTCTAAAAAATAATGAATAGAGCATAATATATAGGCTACAACAACAAGGTTTAATCTGGCCGCAGAGGAACACAACCGGGGTTGCCTGATATAAAGAGACGTAATCCCTGAAACAGAGCTTCCCACTTGCGCAATACGGAAATATCTGCTAAGTAGGGTTGTAACTGTATGAGATTTTCACGGTATGATAATAGTCTCAGAAAATATCACAGTTATCACGGTATATATTAAACAATAATTCTTATCAGTAACAATGACTCTTAAAAAAACAAGAACAAGTTATTTGAGTGAACAAATCCTTTATTACAACAAACTTTAAACCATTTTAATGAAAGTATTGAAGTCTCCCTTCTGAATAAATAAATAAATAAATTTAAAAAACAATAAAAAATAAAGCTGTACACCTTATATATACATATCACACTTGAACATTTTAATTAATGTTTTAAAATGTTATCAAATGAAAATTTACAACTCCTTTTATTTTTGGCAAAGTTAAAACATGGACAAACATGATATTCCTTTAAATTCCTTGTTTAAATAAATTATTTTATTATAAAGAATATTATTATTGTTGTTATTATTAGTGGTCGACCGATACTGGTTTTTTGACAGCCGATGCCGATATCTTGGAAAGCAGGGTGGCCGATGGCCGATATAATTTTATTTATTTTATTTAATATTTAAGAAATT